TCCTAGCAATCTTTGTGACTGAATTTCCGAAATTCACGTCACAATATTTATTGCAATTCGAATTATATGTTTCTTCTAAATAATTGTTGTAGTTAACTGTAAAACAGCTTTTTGAATTTCACGTTAAATTGTTTTCTAACAGCCGTCTCAATTATATAATCATGCACCGCTGTGAATATGGCAACAAATACTTGGTTGCTGTCATATTTGCATGCACCTTGTTATCTGGAAAGCAATGAATCAGCTGATGACTATAATATACATCCGTTCTTATTAATGAAAAGATAAGGAACCTGATTATGCCTCGTGATTCATTTTAGTCATATGAATCGTCATTGTGCGATGATGCAAAATTCGACAAAGTCATGTGGGATTTTATCGAAGTTTCGATTGTGGCATTGTGGAAGAGAATAAAATTGGATAACTTACTTAAGCTTTTGCGAGGACGTAAGACGTCATAGTCTTGAAAATGATGTCTGACATTGAGAGACACTATGTTAAAAACATTTTCCTATCCTATACATTTTTTTTAATTCCCATCGGACTTTCAAAAGTTAATGTACAAGGTTCGTTTGGTTATTATCTTTAGAGCATCCTGTCTGCATCATGCATACTGATAATAATATCCTGGTGATGATAGTGCGGCATAAACACATATTTACAAAACTAACCCCTTAACGCATCAATTAAAAATTCAAAAGCGGTCGTTTTTCCGTTTTTTTCGATTTAAATGTGATGAGTGTCCTGATTCGCAGAAAAAATGGCATTTAGTGAACGGTCGTAATGGCGGCGCCCATGATGTTTTGACAGGTCAGAAATGCACGATTTCTTTACGTACATTTTTCTAACAATTGAAACATTCTTAGCACCTAAATTGAGAAGAGCCGCCAGCCGTATCGCATAACGAAGCGGGCTCATCAAAGATTTTGCTAAATCATTTAGAAATGAAGGAGAATAACGGAAAATACGTTTCCTCGCTTGTGACGTCACGCAATATATATAGCTAAACCAGCCAGACAGCAGCCTTAAACTCGACTGAACTCGGGCAAATGCGCTAAGAGGATAATAAACCATATTGTTGGTGGCACGATTTGAATGAAACATGATATATATAGATTTTTGGGATCACTGAATTTAAGATTGAGATAGATTTGTAATTAACAATGTAAAAAAATAAAAAATTATAATTCTTATACAAATGAAATGAATATTCAATCTCTTATACGTGGTATCTTGAAATCGAAAATTTTAACCTTTAGATTTGAACAATATTTTCGAATTTCTTTGTCCATTCTAAAGGCTTGATGTTTATAAAAAAGGACACCTAGTATATCAAACTTGGTACACGGTGTTCAACTGTACAGAACTATCTGTGTCAACAAGTCTACTTTTAGACCAATTGTGATTCTCTAGGACCGGTATTCATCCTTGAAAATAGCGAAAAGATGGGAGTTAATGTCAGTGAGAGATTTTCGAATTTTACACGGAATGAAAAAAAAATTTCTAGTATAGGATCACCTAATAATTATTAGCAATGAATTATTTTTTAAGTGTATGGATCATGAGTAACACTGATCTATCAAATATTTTTATCAGACTAAATTTTAAACCGAGTTTTCGACGAATAATTAAATTCAGTTGTGAGCAGACGTACCTGCATTATACAAGGCTGATTTCTTTTTTCAACCAAGTATCTTCGTATATAATGTATAGTGTGCAGTTTGGAAGTGAAAGTACGGAAGGACATTAAAACGTAGTATATGTATAAATTTCTTAAAAGAAAGTTCATTAGCGCCCAAGTAAAAGTGATTGAATTAAAAGGGAATATTTTAATTCTTAGTACAGTAGAACGTCGGTTGTCCGAATTAATTGGAGGATATGGATGTTCGAATTAATTGATTTGTTCGAATAATTTAAAATGTCTGGCAAATCAATAGAAACCAAAGGAAAATCATTACCTTTGGTAAAAAAATAATTAGCAATGGGAAATTTTCTTATGGAATGTTTACACAGCACAAGGCGCGAAAAAAACACTTGGCAAGTTGTTAGAATAACCGATCATTTGGATAACCGGCATTCGAATAATCGACGTTTCACTGTACTTGATATTTTATTTCATCAGGCATTCTAGCAGTTTCTAGTACATGAGCTTACCTTTAAACTTTTTCTTGCACTAAAACAGAGTACTGATTCTTATACTAAGAGCCACTGAATTGATTACAAGTTTTCGATTTCGAACTTGTTCGCCTTTATGATTTATTACGCTGATAAGAACACCAGGTAGACATTCGTACTGTAATGTGCAAGTCCGACTGTAGACTTTCTTATACAAACTGTAATTCGCCATCTCGCTCTCTACTCAGTGAGGTTGGAATAAAAAAACATTCAAGCTTCGAGTATAAAAATAGCACAAATTTGAAAGCTCTTTTATCCGTTGAGCACTTGTACATTTTCAAACTTATTATAAATTATTTGAGAATCAAATTATTGAAATAATGATCTGAAACTGATAAATTTTCATAGACATAAAATATCTAAACAATTATTTATTAAAGCAAAAAACAAATTTAAAAAATTGCATGTATAGAATTTTTGGAATTCTATCATATCATTATTAAACCAATTGTAAAGTTTGAAGCTAAACAGTTTTTTTACTGTCAGTGTCTCTTTAAACCGAACGTCAGTAGTAAGTACAGCGAACGTTCACAAGTGCGAGGTGGCGCAGTAATTAACGGTGAAAATTCTGAAAAAGGTCCTTTGGAATGTGCTACATTTTTCTCTAATGACGTCGCGTTATTAGGGCAAAGATCATAGATAGGAATTAAAATGTTAAATTCTTATGTAGCGTCGCTTTTACATTCTGCCGACATTTTTTACATTTGCCCTTTACTACTTCCAAAAGTCTATCAAATTGTGTTTTATGATAATAAGCTCATTGTACTAACTGCCTGAGACACGTTTGCATTACATGATTATCTCCTATAAGTCTTATCATAAGACTTTTCTATAGTTCGGTGTATCCAATTAATGCAGGCTCTAATTTCTCTAGACACTGACAAATCTGCTATCCCCATAATTATATGTTTGCTTTTCACTGCTATGTTATTTGAGACAAATTCTTAAGTATCGTAACTTTGGAGACGTCTGTGTTTTATCATTTTGAATAACAAATAAACTTGTACAATTGTTCCCAGGTCAGTTCACGGATAAATTAGTGCAATATAATGAATATAAATTAATAACAGTATCTATAGCACTCGATATAATTCCGTGTGGACCTAAAGTCCTTGGACCCTGGACTTATCACGGGAAAACATTATAATTGTTACCAAATATGTATTTTGGTACACAATTTATGCATAGACTAGAGTCATTGATAACTATTATAGTATAAGACTAGATTTGATTACATAATTCATATTAAAAAAACTCACATATAGTAATGTAGATGGACAGATTTAAGGACTTTGAGTATTATGATGATTTTATTATATCATCACGGAACTATTTGTAATGTTCATGTCTTCTTGTAGCTGAGTTCGATCGCGCACTCGTGCACACATCAGACTGTACTCCAATACCCCAATGCGAACGTTCATTTCAGAAATCTCAGACTTCATTTTTGTGATTGTCTTTTTGATATTAATTAGAGGAGCTGTAAAAAAAAGGTACGTTTTCATAGCTCCCTGCAGTGTTGTGATTCTAAGGATTTAATATATAAGAAATTAAAAATTTCACTAATTACGTACTTCCATCAGTCATGCTGGAACCTCTTTCGTCCATTTCTCTTTTAACTTGTTCTAGTTCATCCGTCAATTTATTCAGGACCCTTGTTCGCTCTGTTACTCCACCACTTACGTCCCTGTACTGTTCCTTAACTTTGGATAATTCTTCCTGCAAAGATGATATACTTATGATTTCAGAGTTTTTGCAAGATTTTTGACTGAAATAATTTTACAGACCTGAAGAGTTCTGAATTCTTGAAGAATAGGCTCTAGTTGTCGGTTCAGATACATTTCTCTCGTTCTTATTTTGTCCATAGTATTTCCAATGTCAAGATGTAATTTTTCTAGTTGACCTTTGGTGCCAGCAAGACTAGTATTCATGTTGGAGCGATGTTGCTTCATCTGATCTAAATGCGCACGCCAATCTCTTGAATCTGAAAATTTTAAGCTATTTGTTGTTTTGCCACGAATCAAAAGAAACTTATCATATGAAGTCATGATTACCTGTTTTTATTGTAACCTTCAGTTGAGGTAAGACTCTCTCCAATTCCAGTCTCCACTCTTCAGTGTCTGTTTTAGACTCCAAAATGTGTTCAGGCTTCTGTACATCATACTGACAGAAAATAAAAAGGATTATGCTGTGCACTGATAATATAATCTTGTAGGAATTAAAGTAATTTGTATGTGGTACCATATTCCGCCCATATAGTTTAGTGATATCGTCTACGTGTAAAACATCCTCTTCATCTTCTTCTTCATATTCAGCCATCATTTCCTCTTCAACTTTTTCCAAAATTAGTTCAGCGTCATCATCTTCAATTTCCGGTTCTGGCGTTGGATCATCCGGTGGTATTTCAATCCTATATATTAATTACCAAAATATATTTAAATAATAAATCTTATTTCCTAGATTATCATATATGAAAATACTTGCTTTTTCCATTTGAACTTTAACAATGTTAGAGCTTCATCTGCTAAACTGTCAAGAACATACACAGCATGTTCCCCTACACCTTGTTTGAGTTTATTAGGTGGGAATTCTACAGATACTCCAATTTCTCTTAAATGATCTAGAATAAGTGATATTGTGGAATTGGGATCATCGTACTCCTGAGGAGGATCAAAATTTTTCCCAATTTTTCGTATAAGCCAGGCAGCCAAGGAAGTAAACATGTAAAACTGTTCACCAGGATTTGTAGGAACAACGAAGTAGTGCCTGTGTACACAAAATTAAATTATAATAAACAAAGTTAGTTACATACTATAAATTATCCACACTAATTTATGAGTTTCCACTGATGGACAAATTTTAATTTTGTCTTTTGCTGACCTATTTATCGGTTTCATTTTCAAGTCTTGTAGAAATTCTGTGTCGTAATTCAACAGCTTCAATTTGTCTAATAAATCTTCCATCCGTACATTCACAACATATGTAGCTGATGGAGCTGTGCTATCGTCAATAACGATCTTGGCTGCTTCACGAAACATCTTCGAATACAATTAAAAATCTATGTCTCAGTAGACTACTGCTTCCGTCTATTTCTTATACAATTTGTTGTGACAGATTTCTGTAGATTACTATACTATGTATTGATAACGAATACAAATTTCTTGCATGCCTAACCGGCCTAACCTTAGAAATTGGACTGATTCTTGCGTCATAGTAAATATTAGTAGGTGCTTACTATTGACATATAGCATGGACTATGTACGCACTAACATAAAAAAACATGGTCGGCTAAAAAAAGTGATAGCGATTGGTGGCTGCAAAGCCCTGTCTCTTTCTAACCAGCAGCTGTAGTAAGAACACTGATATATACAGGGTGTTCGTTATGAAACGCATTGTAGTAACACCGTTGCATTCCTTGTCAAATTCTAAAGAATACGTGGATTTTCATTTTTTATTTCATATATCAAAATTTCGAGATAATCAAGGTTGAAGTTGCAGTAACGCGACCAATCAGAACGCGTTTAAACGGAGCGTAGATGACGTCGCGAGTCAGCCCACGAGGCTTGCTTACAGTAGGCCAATAATACTAAGAAGTTTAAACGGAGCGTAGATGACGTCGCAAGTCAGCCCGCAAGGCTTGCTTGCACTAGGCCGATAACACTAAGAGTATCGTCGTTGTGTCCCTGTTTATCTGCATGTAATTGAGTAAGATACAAGAGACGATGTTCTTAGTATTATTGGCCTACTGTAAGCAAGCCTCGTGGGCTGACTCGCGACGTCATCTACGCTCCGTTTAAACGCGTTCTGATTGGTCGCGTTACTGCAACTTCAACCTTGATTATCTCGAAATTTTGATATATGAAATAAAAAATGAAAATACATGTATTCATTAGAATTTGGAAAGGAATGTAATAGTGTTACTACAGTGCGTTTCATAACGAACTCCCTGTATACTAACTGGATACGAGCTGGCCGCCATAATGGTGTACCCATTAGAAGCTTGGATTCGACTACCGCGAGGCCTGGCAGTCAGGCACGGTACTATGTAGGTCGCGGCATATTTAATAAAAGGATGGAGTAAAGTAGTAGGAAACCACAGATCGTTTATACATATACGGAATTAATGCAAATAATAAAACGGTACATATACAGTTTGTGGAGAAACTTGAATGTTGCATTTTATTATGGTATATGTTGTAATATTGCCTTTTATGGTGATGAATGGCAATATTACAACATATATATCTTACTATTTGTAAATGAACTTCTTAGAAAATGTGGAATTGTAATCAATTGTGTAAATCAGATATGTAAACTATGTGCACATGCAATTTATAGAATTTGAAGATGATATGTAATCAAATTATGAGGTATACAAAATATTGGTTATTATTTCAAAAGTTAATAGCAGCTAATGAAACTGAAATTGATTACTTACATACAATTGAGTAGATCAGATATAGATCTTTTTACTCCGTTTCCAGGAGCATCTCGGTATTGTGAGCTCGTATCCAGTTAGTATATTATCAGTGAGTAAGAATATAAAAAACGTAGCTAGTGGGAGTATTAGAAAAGGAGAGGTACTAGGTGCCACTTCAGTCTCTCTTTGTCTATTCGAGCGGCATTTTTTCAAGAAGTTGAAGTAGGGCAACTACTTTATATGGTTGGATCCTCATACAGGCGCGAGTGCTTGCATGCAGGATTTTGGTTGGTGAAAAACATGGTGAAAAAGGTGAAAAATGACTTTTCTTTTCCCACATGTTATCCACCAATCAAAGTACTGCATTCGGCCGCTGGCGCTTATATGAGTATTTAACGTAATACCGAGCCATCTTTACTAGCCGTTGTCAGTGACATAACCTATAGTTAATGTGTTGACAGTATATTCTAGATACAGTTCAAGACGCAAACATTCATTTTATAAAATTGGAATTACAAAAGTAGTTGTTTAACCAAGTAATTAAAATGGCTGTAGCTAAACAGAGTACGAAAAAGTTGAAGTGGGCTCTTGACTTTTCTCACAAGTATGTATACCATTAAAGTACAATGATGATTCTGTGAAATCATTATTTATATTACTATAACCTCCTTTACAGGAATAAGCAAGAGAAGAATGTTGATATTGCTTCACCACCAGGATATAATCCATCAGTTGCTTTAAATCATGGCACAGAATTGATGAGAGAATTAGATTCAAATCATTTGATTATTAAAAAGTCATGGGACCTTGCTTTGGGACCATTGAAACAAGTTCCTATGAATTTGTTCATCATGTACATGGCTGGCAATTCCATATCAATATTTCCAATTATGATGGTAGGAATGCTTATCATGAGACCTGTTAAGGCCCTTTTCGTATTACAGCAAAGTATGTTGATGTTTCAAATGAATAACATAAACAGCAAAAGAAATATTTCTAATATTTTAATGCTATTATTTTCAGCATTCAAAGTCATCGAGGGTACTCATGCATTTGGCCAAAAATTTGTTTTCTTTTTGGGACAATTGGTAAACATTGCATTGGCGCTTTACAAATGTCAGTCAATGGGTCTACTGCCAACGCATGCTTCTGATTGGTTGGCTTTTGTAGAACCGCAAACCAGAGTAGAGTATTCTGGAGGAGGTATAATATATGTGTAAATGAGTAAAATGAAATATATATATATATCAATTACATCTCTGCATTATGTATATTTAAATGTAGATAATATACAAGTAAATATGTACAGATTAATTAAATTAATTGATTAAATCTCCACTGTATATTCGTAAGTATTAAAATAGTACACTAGTCTTTCTTTTTATATTGTTCTGAAAGTTGTTTTACTTTTTCAATAATTTTCTGTGGATCATCTACTCGAGGGACCTGAAAATATTATTGTTATGAGCAAATAGTTCTATGTACTTGACTTAAAAATTGTATCACGTCAATACGTACTTCATAATTTTGACTGATGTAGATTCCGGCGTAGACGCCAATCCCCAAGGTTATCTACAAAAAGATGCACTGTGGTTTCCAAATCATCACCTTTTGAAAACTAATAAAATGACATACCAAAAACCTAAACATGTTGTACTCAATGTATCCTTTAAATGTCAAACGATTTGAAAAGTTTCTCTTCTAATAAAATACAATATGTTGTTTAATCCCGTGAAAAATGTACAGGATTTAACAACGTTAGTCCTGATTAATACTACTCGCACAAATATTTCCCTTGGTTCTCTTTTTGTGTAACATTCTCATAGTTCCTTTAGACAATTTTATTCTAGGGAATAAAATCTGTATATTTGGTACGAATAATAAAAAATTATTCTCTAGTATTTGGAAATTTCCTTCAATCTATTAATTTAAATTAATAACAAATGAAAATGTGCTACATTCAAGAATCTGCAGTATTAGAATTAATTTTCTCTTTATAGCTGAGGATAATTAAGTTTTTCTGTGTAAATCTTTTAAAATTAAATGTACTTAGGGTCCCTAGATGATCGCGCTTTAGTTAGAATTATTCGTAGTAGTGTGGGGCGGCCGTAGCCCAGTGGATAGGGTAGCGGATTCACGACCGAAAGGTTGGAGGTTCGCGCCCAACTTCTAGCGGCATTCACCAATGGGTTTTCATATGAAAACTTAAGTGAGTATTTATACGGATTTCGCCCAACACTGTTCGGATTCGGTGTATAAACTTTGTAGCTTCTAGGGTCCCTAGATGATCGCGCTTTAGTTAGAATTATTCGTAGTAGTGTGGGGCGGCCGTAGCCCAGTGGATAGGGTAGCGGATTCACGACCGAAAGGTTGGAGGTTCGCGCCCAACTTCTAGCGGCATTCACCAATGGGTTTTCATATGAAAACTTAAGTGAGTATTTATACGGATTTCGCCCAACACTGTTCGGATTCGGTGTATAAACTTTGTAGGTCCCCTCACGCTGAGTTTGAATAAGGCCCGTCTCGCAAGGTACATCGCCATCTATTGTCGGACTTCCAACCTTGATTATTAGGACCAGTTACTGGCACATGTCCCCCATTGGGGATACAGCCATAAGGAAAGGAAGGAGGGGGGATTCGTAGTAGTGCTCGTATTTACTATACGTAGTATTACGTAGTTCTTGATAATACTCCGTGACTTGGACGTTTTCTATTGAAATAATTCAATAATTAGAGAGAAGATAAGTAGTGGATAATTATTGAAGGCAAGAAGATAGCATTTTAATAATTTAAGCAACATATAATGGCCGTAGGGAGCACAACTCTCGCACTTTTGTGAATGGTATTAAAGTAATATTTATTTCTCTGGCTCTGTGTATTATATTTATTATGTATATGGGGCGTTCTTCCCTCTAGATATTATGAGTGCTCGGTGTCTTTGTATAAAAGGTTGACGCGAAGTAACTGTAGTCTCACGATGTTGATTTGATGACGCAAATAATTATTAGAATTTTTGTCAGTCAGAAGAGTTTCCACAGCTTTATTTTTGTCCAATAGTACCTCCTTTTATACTGACTTCATCGAACAGTTTAAATGTTTAGTCTTATTGTTAGCATTATTTTGTTATTGTATCTTGTATTATATTTGTGCATATGTACAGTTTGTTTTAGCTTAATATCACAGATGCCATACATCCTGGTACGTGGTAACCTTGCTTCCTATGGTCACAGATATCCGTGGAGAGTCTTAGTGTCTGGTCTCAAAGGTACTGTTCAAGCAAATCTAATAATTTTGTGTAGTTTACTTCTAATCTCCTTATCTTATCATAGCATCTGATATTGAGCAGTTAAGTCGCTTTGCATCTGGTGGATACTGTGATGACTCAACGATAGTGTATCTTCAGCATCCCTGTGTTATATTGACTGCTCTTGAAGTACTTGGTTATAAAGTAGTTGCATCGTCAAGCACAAGTGTTAAGCAGGATTATAATGAATATATGTGGACTATGAGAAAAGATTTTTCGGAGCCAGAGCCTGAGCCTGTGATAAAAACAGGTATGTCATAATTTTTTAAATATATTGCTTTCATCAAACAATTAATGTATCATTTAGTTCAATGTAATTTAAGTGATACATAAATGTCTTGGAACAAAGGAAAATAAGTTTTAGGATCCTATAATACAGGTAAATATACCGTGCAGAATGTACTATATTGCTCAAGCTGAATTATGTATTTTTCTTGTGAAAACAAAATGCAAATAGCTCATTGCACTTGCATTTTTTTTCATACGACAATTGCTTGAGTATTTTCTTTCATATTCCCCAAAAATTAAACTACATGATTAATTCTAGAGTATGCCATAATTAATATTAAGACCATAATCTTTAGTGGAGAAATGTAAAATGGCATAATTTAACATAAAGCTAAGCCTTTGATCTTTTATCAAAAACATTCTGTTGGAGCTAATCTATTTCCAGGGTTTCTGTTTTATTAAGATATGCGATTTTACAAATCTCCCATAAGTGATGCACTACTGATTATTGGTATCTGCAGATTCTACTGAATTGTGTTAATATTAACATTCATCCCATATATTTTTTTGCTGGTGTTCTATAATCTGATTCGTCCATTATGTGGATTCAAGGGAATTTTGATCCCGCCCCAAACCCTCCTCTAATTAATCCAACTGTATAGTACATACGGGTTCTTCAGTACTAAGTGTTGCTTTAGTAGCGCGTCCATTTGATTCTCAGATACGTTTGTCGTATCTTCGTTAATTATTGGAATGTTCTGAAATTCAGACTTGCTATTTTGTAAGGCATGTTGCTCTGTTGTGATGAACCTTTAAATGGTAAAGTTTCTTACGGCTATATAATTCGCAGATGTGTTAAATAATGTGAATCCAATACTGCTGGCTGCACTTGTTTAGGTTATGGTTATGTAGTGCAAGTTAAGTTTTGAATTAAAACCTCAAATTTTCGATATTTAAACATTTTTCGGGAAAGCAACATCATTCCGATAACAGGGAATGAAAAAGTATCTTATTCCTTGATTTTGACATCATTATCATTTCCGTGAATCTTTATCATTTATTGTACTTGCTCTGACTCATAATTTTTAAGTTTGAAAATTTTTAAATCGTGCGTGGTATTGAAAGACACATAATTCTGTATTTTATAATAGTGTAGTGCTTTAAATGGAATAACTAAAATAATCTTGAATGACATATTTATATATTTGATTAACTTTAACAATTGTCTCATATAATAGCATCATTGTATTTTTTTATGATTTTAAAAATACTTTTATTATATTAGTCATTTCTTATCATAATTATAGTTTGTGTTTTGGGGAGTACATATAAAACTTAAATATCACAAAATATCAAATATCCTAAATAAAAGTTTTTAATATACCCGTGTATAAATATATTGGAAAGAAAAATTTGCCTCATCGTCATGGTAAAAAAAAGAGGAATAGTATGGAACTACTATATAAAGAAAGTAGATGGATCCCAAGTGATCGCCTTCTGCAAATTCTGCGATCAATCATATATTCAAAATGCTACCCGAATGGAACGACACATGGAACGCTGTCCAAAGTGTCCAGAAGATATACGCCAACAATTTATCCAAGTGGCACATAACAAGAAGAACAAAACAAACGTTCTGGGGATCAAGATAAATGATACTTGGACCAAACAAGAATCATCAATGGAACAAAGCAACATAACAGACACTGAATTAGAAGACTTGGATGATTGGGGATACAGAAATCAAGCATATCCAGATGGCACAACCAGTTCAATGCAGCAAAACATGGAACTAGTAATGCAAACTGGTGATCAATCTTGGGAAAATCGAGATTCTACAATACAGCCTACCGAATCGGATACAAACACAGTGAATAGGAACTGGGAAGCAAATCGTAGTGCAGCTGAACCTGCCGCATCTGGTAAATTCCAATTTTCAAGATCCATATTAGAAAATATTGAATTGCCTTTATATAGTTACAATGACAAGTAGATCCATAAGAATGAAATATATGAATATAAACCGTAATTCTTAGCCGCGTCTCAGGAACGAGGTGGGTCGGTGCACCAACGAAAATCTCATGCACCACGAAGAATTTCACAATGGCCCTTGCTGTCCATGCGATCGTCAGGATACTCTCCACTACAGAGCAAAATCTACCAAGAGCAATTACTCGAACAGCGAGCTTTAAGACGAGCAGCTGAACTCGAGTTACGACGAAAAACCCTTGAATTCGAGCGTTTCCAATGGGAATATGAGCGCGACAAAGCGCACAGCGAATTACGATGGGCGCACGAATCTCGTATGATGCAGTTTAAGGAAGAACGAGAAAGACAAATAATCGAGGAAAATAGAACACGTGGATTGTCACACGTTATGTAATTATTTATAGACAGAAACAAAATCCTTCAATTGTACCTAACGCTCCAATTTTTTTTTTTGCTAAGTTTTAAAAAAAATCGTTGCCTTGCAGGTTCGAATCTCTTTCTTGCTCATCTGTAGGATGTTCATTAATATATACATTCCTTTCACATAGAAAGGTTACTCTTATTGATAACGTTAATCTCCGTCTTCGTACATTGTATATATGTTTTGTAAATCGATCATAAGTCGTCATAATTAAACGTGTGATTTCTACGAGGACACGCATTACGGTTAGTCTATTTCTCCTTTTAGAACTGAAAGACAACGAAGTCTGAGATTCTTTTAAATCAGATTATAAGAGGAGGATAAGATGTCTGAGAAACTGATTAACATTATTGGAAGCGAGACGTACTATTATGTAGCCGTAAAGGGATCGCCCTTTGCGTCTGATTGTGCAGTCTTTGGTCTTACTGCGGATGAGATCTGCGCACTCACCAAGCGTTTCCCAAATTCGGGATCCGACGTTGTCAACGGGGTTGCGGTTAAAGGTTATTATGACAAATTATTTAATTCATAATATAATTTCATAAATGAGCTTTGTAAGTCCTTCGAATGGATAATTGGCGAATATTTATATATTTTCTAAGTAATATTCATTGTTCCCATAGAGAATTTTATAAGTCTTAACATTGTTCCCCGAAGCATCGAGAATATTTATCCATTGAGAATATTTTTCAGGAGCTCCGATGCGAGTGATAAATGCTCTTGCCGAGCTGGGTTATCGTGTGGTTTGCAGTACCGGTGAGGCTGAAATTTTCTGGACGTTGCAAAGGGAAGTCGAAGACGATTCTTGAATGATTTATTAAGCTTTTGTCCACCTCTATATACCAATCATCTTCGCACCGTTCACGTTTGATCAGTTGTCGTCGAAGAGGAAAATTAATAGTGCAACAAGATAACTCCAAGAGAAATATAATAAAAAAATCTTGATTAAAAACGTTTGTCCAATCTTTTTGCTACGAGGATTACAAACACATTTCATTTACGTTGTTAAAAGATTGACGTGTGTGGACCAATTGAATTGCGAGACATAATCACAAGATGACTGGAGAGAACAAAACTATTGTAACTCATTTTGGCGCTATTTTTGAATGGATGAACTGCCGGTCATTTTTTAAAAATGTTTTTTTCCGGATTTTTTTTTAGACGCATTCAGTTCTTGTCACATCTTGCTGTCATTCGTTCTTTGAATTATATTATTATATTATGATACGCCTTAGCTCCCTTATAGATCAATTTTCTTTGAACAGATACTTTTTTTAAGCAGGATTAAATGTGTTTTCTCTCATGATCATACGTTTTTATAATTGTGATGATTAAACTGCGTAACGCATCTGTACTCGTAGGTAATGTGGAAAACACTTAACGGATATTTTTCTCATATAATTAATTGATGGCGCGTCGCGCAAAAGTGGCCTATTTTCATAAAGCAACGACTAGTAAAAAAAAGCAAAGATATAAATTGACCATTGCGTAGAATGTGCAACTGTTATTTATATTTTACAAATGACAGAAATGATAAATGTAAATCAATATATATATATATATCAAAATATGTATTGATTTTCTAGTATCATGTAACGAAACTGATCAACCGTAGGATCATCGACACGACCGAATTTTTATTAATTCTTTTTATATCAAATTATTTTATGTACACTGGTGACTGTTAATTGAAGTTTTTTTATCTAGAATATACTTTATAACGAAAGCCGTTGGAACAACTATAGCTTGATAACATATTGAAGTGATTACTCATCACTTCAATATTACCTTGTCTGGCTAACGATTTACGATGTTAAAAGAATTATATTTAGACACTTAGTTTGTTCAGGCCCAATTTATTGAAGCGATTCATTGGCGTATTTTATTCGTATGCTATTAAGTTTAAAATAAAGACTAATGAGATACTCGTACCTTGAGTTAAACAGAGTTAATGAAATTGCGTTATACGATAATTTATCAAAATTTGATCTAACATTCCCTTCTCACAATTAATGATAATCATTAAAGATTAGAAATTGTAGCAGCTACAATTAAAAATATACACTTGCACCGCGTTTACAACATCTTATAGGTCACAATTACGAATAATCCAATGTCCCTAATCTTACAGTAGTCACTTATTATTCCATTAATTTATTAGCTTCGACGTTATGACTTCGAGTAAGTAATAGAATCTTATAATTCATATTGCTAAAATAACAATCATTTATAAACGTGTGAGAACAATTTTGTTGCAACTCAAAAAGACATTAATTTAATTCTGAATTAATCAAGCACTTGATTGGCATTCGGTTTCCCGTTACAAATTTTATTATAACTAATAAAAGATTGAATATATAAATATATGATAATATTATGTATATGTATATTTTACAAAGTCATATTTTTACTCCAATCACGAACTGGCATTGTACTTTTACAGGTTTACGTAATCCATGCGTCGTTGCGCGCAAGCAAATGTAATTTTTTGCATACTATACACCCAATATACTCATGTAACGAATATACATTATCGATTGTAACAATATACGGAATATCTTGATGTTACGTTATTCTTCTTTATTTCATCCTGATCAATGAATCACAGCATATCATAAGAACGTCAGATCCGTACAATATAATAAGTGGCTCGGATTGATCATACGCATAAGCTAATTATCTTTAATGAGGAAAATATAAAAAAAAAGATTCTTAATGATTAACTGTTTCAGAAAAATACTGAAGTTACTCAAGTACATTCCAGACAATAAATCATCATGGAATCCCATAAGCATAACAGCGATGAATGCTGTTGCAAGTCCAATACATCAAGTGTCCAACAGTCATTACCAGAAATGGACTTTGAACGAGGAATTTGGTATGCAGGTAATAGGACAATTTTGTTTCTAAAAAGATAAATTTATTCACACAATCTTATTTTAACTAATTTTGTACTCTTGGTTTTAGCTCAAACGGGCGACTACGAACGACTTGAGAAATTGTTAAGAAAAGGTGTCTCGCCGGATATTGAAGATTCTGCCGGCTACACGGCTTTGCATTATGCTGCTCGCAATGGTCATGCTATTGTTTGCAGAGAACTTTTGAACAGAGGAGCTAATGTAAACGCGCAAACAAGATCTGGTCGAGCTACAGCATTGCACAGGGCTGCTTCTCAAAATCTACCAGATATCATAAAACTGCTATTGAGTTTTAAGGCTGATCCGAATTTAGTGGATGCTGATGGAAACACGGCATTGCATCGAGCTGTTATCACAAATGCTAGTTGCGCGTGCGAGGAATTATTAAAATCATGCAACTCCGGCATTGTAAATAAGAACAATAAGACAGTATATGAGATTGTCAAAGCAAAGGGACAGGAAGACTTGATTAAGCTATTTCAAAAGACTGGAATGCAATGACCTGCCCCCTCATAATTATATAGGTGTATATAGCCAACTTTATTACCTTGGTACGTGCTCGCATAGATAAACACGCTTAATTAATTGTTACCGTTGATAAGTAATAAAACAGTATAGCGTAAAAGCATTCTACGACACTCGATATGCTACTCCAATAATACAATTGATTAATGCTCCCCCTATTTGGTATAACTCAAATCAATAAATTAAACGTGCATCATTAGTGGAAGTATCGATCAATTGAGATTACGGTAAATAAGTTATTAAAAACAGGCCAAGCATACTTGGGGTGTAGGCATGATGCGTGCGTTTTACATTGTAATAACAAAATCAAAATATATAGCGAGAAAAAAAATCCTATTGCAATTACTACACTTCGTCAGAGAATTATCCCATTGACCTAGTTGCAATTTCCCCATAACATTGGTGATCCCGTATACCTTGTACCAGAAGCACAAAGCACGAAACGTTATACTGAATTCACGATAGTGTTTACCACATAAAAACATATGTACAGAAATAACAAGCAAAAGATCTAGTGCGATACTCCAACCACACCAAAGGGCAGAGGTGCACTGAAGTATTATCTACCAGGTCGTGCACTTGATATTGAACGAATCGTACGTTTACGCGAATGTTCGGTAATCTTCGTACCCGATCGAGTCTTTTCGTTCACCTTCGTTGCGTGGAATAATCGCGAATTCGCGGCTGCCGGAGCCCCATCGTGATAAACGGTGCTGCCACCTAGTGTAACCTCCCGTCTCCCGTGCGCTTGCAGTTCGTCGCGTTGAGTCAGTTGTTTCACGTATACCGCGGGTGCTTTGCGCGGGGACCTACTACCGGCTTTTAATCCGTTTCACACCGGTTTCTCTTGTCGATTCGCGTTTTACCTATATTCCACATAAATTGCGGAACAATCTGCAGTGTAACTTACAAGCTGGACGCTGTGCGGAGTGTGACAATCGCGATGTAACCGTACCGTGACGTCACACGGCTAATCAAGTACACGGAGTGAGAGAGTCGAGTGCGAGTGTGAGTGGGATAGATAGAGAGAGAGTGAGTGAGAGAGGGAGACACATATACACGCGCCCGCGCGCTCCTAGCTGTACTATATATATATATATATATATATATGCAGAGAGGTACGCACACTAGTACCTATTGGTGATACACGTACGTAGAATTGATGCGTGTGTGAACTCGCGGAGTATATATATGTACATATACGCATTTGGATTCGCTTTATACATATTATGAGACTGTAGGCATGTTCATATATGATACTCACACTTGTTCGCATCCTCATACACACTTGTGCGCTCTCGAAAACAGACTAGAGCAGAAACGAGACTAGAAATTTTGTGGCTATATAAATTACATCGTCTCTTACAGACGGGAACTCTCTTTACCTGGTTCTTTTTGGTTTTCATGGATTCTTTTTTTATTGCACGTGGGGCTCCTGTATCGGGCGTAACAGCGTAGTTGCGGACGCATGTGTGAAGTTTGCGGCGAGATACGCTTAAAAATTACGGCGAATATTGTATGATTTTGCGAGGGTTTAATAGAAGTTGGAGTAACATCATTTTATCTGGTCTTGTTACGCTGATGCTATTTTGAAGTTTTTTTCTTGTGTGTATCCTTGGAGTTTTACTGTCTCTTGTATAACCTAGTCTTTATGACTCGAAAGAACTGATCACCATTTTGTGCCAGCGTGCTTGCGACTTAGTTTCTAGCCATGGTGGGTATGTGCATGCGTGCGTGCTTGTCTCTCCTCTCTTGTCAGAAAAGAGACTGAGAATCATGGGAGTGTAATGTTATTTAGTTGAGTTTTTTATTATGAATTGTGCGGATCAAGGGCAACAGTGTTGTCTCTGTTTATTTAAATGTCTAATGGATTCCTTGTGATTTCGTCATATCATTGGGCAAGATTGGATTTCATTCTGTCCTTTGCAAATGGATGTATCTTTTGTTAATTAAAATTGGTCTTTTATCGTGTTCGTTAATGGTTTGTGTTTACTGTGAAGAAATTTGTTAGGAAAGTGAGAAATGTCCACGGAAATGAATTTTGTAATTTGTTACTTCATTTAGGTAGGATCATGTAACGGGTTATAATTTTCTATTTGAATGTTTAGATCAGCATAACTTAATTTTTATTCTCACTAAAAGAGATCTTCCACTTTCGCCATCTTGTGATTGAACAATTTAAGTTTTAAATTATTTGTAATTTTTTTTGATATATAAATTGGTGAGTGTTTAATGACACAGTGAGTTGTGCAAGTGTCTTTTATAAAAAAAAAAAAAAAAGAAAACAAAAGGGAAACCTTAATCAGTTCTACAGTAAGAAGATGGATAGTGTGTTGTGAAGCCACTAAGTTTGGACTGATCTTGTAATAGTTCAGTAAGGTGATTCAAACAAGGATAACTGTGAATTCCACGACATGAGGTTTACTCTTCCTTTTAATTCTACAGTGGGGACCTTCATGGGCTTGCTGCTCCAAATAGCCAGTCTAAATACGTGAAGTTTTATGAACTTCATTGCCAGTCCAGCACAGCTCGCTCTGTCCTGGCCTGTGATTATTGAAGCATTGCCTATATAGGCATTTGGATTCCATTGGGATTTCCTGGAAGATATTTTTGCTACCACGGATCATCCCCAGCAATTTTGCACCACGCCCACCCTCGATGAGAGGAGGCACATGTCCATTGCTGCCACTGAAAATGCAGGGTAAGTCAAATTCATTAATTGGCAAATATTTCTTTGTTTTATATATATTTAACATTTTCACTACGCAATGGCCATATTCTACAATAGACTTCATGCGTTTACTCAAGTTTATTTTCTTACCATTCGAGACCATGGTGTTATGTATATTCTTACACAGAGAATTTTCTTATTGTCTAGAATGAACATAAACTAAAATTGTTGCAAAGGGATGTACAACTATTTCATAGGAATTGATTGAGTTTATTTATTTGCTCCGCTACTCCAGTAGTTTGGTAGAAAATGAAACTGCTATCATGAATTTTCTGGCAAGTGGGATATCCGGCATATTATCAGTCTCTTTTGAGGCACAAGCTTTCCCTCTTCCCTTACAAACAATACGAATTCTGTTTTCCATAAGATGCTAGAACTCGCTAACTGTCCATTAAAAACAAAATAACTCATTTTTACTCATCGTTTCGGGACCTCGTAAATACGTCTGTCTATCTTTAGTTATCGTTTGCAGCGGTGTAAATAAATACACGAAATTTCAAATATCTAGATACGAAGAGAGCTGGACGCTGCTAAAAAGTATAGCACAGTTATGAAAAAAAAAGTAAGAAATAATTAATTGCTTCGGAGCATGTCTCGTTAGGCGAGTTTTGAGAAAACTGTAAAGGCGTTTGCACAATTCCATGATTCACAGAATTCTGAGGAAAATTTTTTTTCCTTTTTGAACTCCGAACAAACACTCATCCATTTTCTCGGTTAGAAGAGTGTAAGAGACTTCAGATATGCGTCAAAGGAATCCCAAAAGTTTCTGATTCAATGTAATATTGTTTATGGTGCAAAGGAAAAATTAATATTTGTGTCGCAGCAGAACTCTGTTGCCGTATTTACTGTAACACAGCCATTAACGGTTCCTCCTGTATTACACCATTATCGTTTCATTTGTTTCTTTATCTAGGTATATACCAAGCGTTAGACACAATTTACAGCAGAATCTTTCGTGACCGCGTATCTTTATTTTAAAGACCGTCTTCTTTTACAGTGTGATTTTGGAGATTAAATTTGTCCGGTAACCGACTTACTTCGATTATAGGCTCTAGTCATTAATTCGATACTCAATCGGTGTTACTGAAAGTTTCGCAAGCTTTTTCATAGTGAACAAAGCTTTACTTAGCATTCGGCTAATTGACTCACGTTCCACAAGCGATTATTAGAAGCGGAGCGGGAGTAGCTGAAAAAAAATAATTCAATCCTTACGCCGGCTAGTCGTGCGATGGCCCTGGTGGCCCAAGATGTAAAATAATGAGTTTGGCTCGGAATGTATTATTGCCCCATATCCACTCGTGCAAAAGCAAACTCTTCCGGGGTCGTTCTCCATAACGTGGCACACCAAAAAAAAAAGAAGAATCAACACTACTGCAACGACCATTTGTAGCATTGCGAATCATACGGTACGAATCGTCAAACAAAAGACACAATAACAGTGCGCCAACTGCGGGTTGAGAATCCGGAAAGAATGGACGCAAAGGATTCTCCGAAACACTTTGCGTCTCTTTTTCTCTTTTCAGGCGCAATTGAATAATCATTTTTCTTGGCTCTTATTCCCACATGAGATTTTTCCTCGAGAACTCTTCTTAGAGAGGCAGCAAAAGACCCGTTGATTTTTCACATTCTGCCGTTCCTTTCATCAGAGTCCGTTGTCCCGTGTCAGACATCTTTTTTTTTTTTACCTTGTCTTTTGTGCAAGATTTAAAGGATCGCTCGCAATAGCCAAGAAAGACTCCTTCCTCTTCGTTGCAAGGCATTAAGATGCCGCTGTCTCGTTGCGGACTCTTTGCCTACCGAAGAGAAAGTGCAATAACATAGGTAATCTCATTGTTGTTGTATAATAAACGTAACCTACTGCGGCCAGTACTTTATTACCTGAACGTCGTGGCATTGAAAAATAATGGCACGGCATTACGCGAAAGTTCGTACATTTACTTGGCTTTGCTGTTATCCACGCTCATCCGTTTCACGTCAGTTTTCGAGGTAAAAAGAATCGACAGATATCATCTCTATCATCCCGGAGTAACGAGACCGTTCCGACGTCGGATTTTCTTTAGGCTATTTTTCATTTCTCTTCTCTGCGTCGAGAATAATTCTCGATAGATTTCGTTTCTCCCATTCTCGATTATCTCTATACCCCTTACGATCTTTTTAATATGCTTAGCAAGCATAGCGCCTATCCACTGACGAGCCATTTCCAATTTTTGTGAATCACGTTTGCACAGCGTAAAGCTTCGCGAAATGCCATTTGAAAATTGATATCTGTAAGGTTTAGATTGTCGCCGTCATTAGGCTACTAATTCGAAAGGCAAGCTACGTCGCAGAGAACCAAGGACACTAAACGATCATCGTTGAACTAGAATTCCGTAATGGCTCCGTGATCCTGCTTTGTTCCTGAATCCTTATCTTGTCCGGCATCTGTATCTCGTCGAGTCAAACGAGCAAATGACCCTGTTCAGTGTGACCGATATATTTTTCTATTTTTTTTTCAATTTAAAAAAAGCACGCCGTCACAGTTTCCAGTCGAAGCGACGACTGTGCGATCGAACGACAGCAATGGCGTCCGTTCGTTCGCGCTATATACGAAAAGGATGGAATACATAACGTACCGATGCCACGAGAGCGTATTTACCCCGTCGCATTATTTTCCCTTCTGTTCAGTATTTTATCTCTGCGACTGATGCTCGACCGCTTACCGCTTTCCCCCGTCGTATGTCCTATTGCGTTCAGGTAGCGGTCGTCATCCTATCCCCACGAGGAACGTCAGTCCGATATGAAGAAAATAATGCTCGACGCTTACTCAAGAGACAATGGCAGTGACACAGTAATTATAGAATGAGGTGATCGGGTCGAATCGCTCGTGCGTCCATACGTACATATCGTGGACATGGTCTTATCAATTCGTAGAAGCACACTTCTTGGGCGCCAGGTAAACGGGAAACTTTGCTCAGGGATGCACGTGGCTCATATTCAGCAGTTCGTTGGGGGATTTTATTCCCCGTGGACGGGAATGGTCTCTCGGATCGGCAATCTCTTTTTAGACTTACCTTCATTCACGATTATTAGATGAGGCCTTTGCTTCTCGGGCAGGACGGCGCCTCGCAACACCAGTCTTCTTGGACTTCCTAGGGATTTTCGTTTTCGTTATTTTTTCTTTTTCCTCTTTTTATTCCTTCGAGCGCCCTTCCGAAGACCGTTCGGTCGGAAGACAAAGAAGCGCTGGTTTCTTGACGTTAATGCGTTTATGGGGCTGAGATTTCTTGGAATCGCGGCGTGTGCACGGTCAGGAAGTTATTTATTACGCTGAGATTCGTGGAGAGAGGGTCGGCAATGAAATTATTATTTGCTCGACATACGGGGATTGCAATTTTTTCTTCTACCTTTCTTTCATTTCAAGTACGTAATTACGATTTCATGAATTCGAGAACGGTTCGGCGCTTTAGGGTGATCCTTCATTTTTCTTTAACGCTCATATCCATCTCGTTGCGATATATGGTAAGGAAGTTGGCAAGGAAGTTTGTTTAATTTGGGGGGGTATGGGGGAGGAGGGGGGCGTGGTTGTTCCTTACCGCAGTATCCGAGAATTCGAAAACAAAGAAAGCGCGTCCGTCATTTTCTCGTTAGTCGTTTATGATGGTTCGCGAGAAAAAAAATTTTGTTTTATCATTCTAATCTTTTTTTTTTTTTTCCTTCCACAAAGACACTGACAGTTGGCAAGGGTGACTTTCTAGGTATTCTCGTGAGTCAACGGAACAAAGAAAATGCGTTATCGATGATCCTCGACGTAACTACAAAGAGAGCACTCTTCGTTATCGACGACACCCACGTAAGGGACAAAGAAAATACGTCTCGTTATCGATGATACATAAGTGCGGGACGAAGATGGGGTTTGCCACGAAACTTCGCTAAATACCGAAACATAGCTTTTTGTTCTTACGAGAGGGAGGGAGAGAGAGAGAGAGAGAGAGAGAGAGAGAGAGAGAGAGAGAGAGAGCGAGCGCCGTCGTGCCTGTAAAATGATATCTCGTGTCATTTCGATATCGTCCCCTCGGTCGCTGCCTCGTCCCTCCCCCGAATTTTTTTGTTTTTCCATGACGGGTTGCCACTGACAAAGACATTCCATTATGGTCGTACGGTGGGACCCCCGCTTTTGGTCTATACCAAAACTTGCCGGACAATGGAGAACGGATCTCTCCCTGCTATTTTTCTCTATTCGAAATAAGAACGCGACGGTGAGGTCACGTGGCTAAAATGCTTCCTGAGAATCGAATAATCGTGCGAGAATACGAGGTTTCGACGTGCGCGGGAAACTATGAGAAACGGCGAGCATCGAGCGTAAAAGCTTCGTTCAAGCTATCACCGGTTATAAGGAACACGTATATGTCAATCGTATCCCGATAATAAAGAACGTAAGGAGACAGCGTATAGAGCCTTCGGCGCAACTGCGTTGAACTCTGGGAGCATTCGACGTTATATCATATCGCTATGGCGTCGGTATTCTTTCAGGGTCACTGGCGAGCACAATTCGCAGTCCCGTCTGCATCATCTTTCGCTGCGCAACGGCTCGTTCCAGTCACTCGGTGCGAAACGAACGAGTCGACGAGCGAGGGTCCCCCCCTCTCCCCTCCCCCTCCCCCCC